ACCCTAAACCCTAAAGCCAAAACCGTGTTAATCTTCGGGCCTTGGGCTCTGGGTTGCAGTTCGAGACTTTGGTTCTTCCGGACCCGATCTCCGTCTGATGTATGTCCCGCTTTGGTAGACTGTAGTCTGATGTTTTACATTACAATACAACACGACATAATATCATAAGGTATTCTGAAAGATCATATCAGAAGATGCTATGACTTCTCATAATAGACTGAAAACTTATACAGTGTAACATTGTGTGATCTGCTGGGCCTTAGCTCCATCAGCCTTATGTGATCCCCTCTGAGAATTTGCGGTTCAATCTGCCCGTTTTAGGGTGAAGGGATTAGGGTTCAGGGTGTAGGAATTTTGGGTTCGTAGAATCCTCAAGACTTTCGCAGACCAAGAAGTCAGAAGCAGTGTATGGTTCGACTGCTGAACTTCGCACATGTTGGCATGGACATGGTTCGTCGGAGCCACCGTAAGATTTGTCGTAGCTTCAGAGTCAATCTCCGTATGAATGTGGTAAGCTAGTTGGTTGTGCTCTTGTTCAAGATTTGCAAGTTCCGTAAATACTAAACACAAAAACGTGAGCCCTAAGCTCTCAACCGCGTGCCAAACCACAAGGTGTAAGTGCAGGCAATCTGTCGCATCGTTCGTGCCATGGTGCTGGAGCGCTTCATGTAGCTGAACGAAGTGGTTATGGCCTTCCACCATCAGTTCTGGCAGGTCTCGGAGGGATACATGTGTCGCAAAGCTTTTTTTTTTTACAAGGGTCCGGCGAGGGTCGTACAAGGTTTGCTTGGAGGATCAGCAGACATAGCAAGTAAGCTGGAAGTGCGGTTGGAGACCCGCTCCTAGCTTGTTGACTAAGTCCCCTGAGCCTTCAAAACCCTATCTCACAGCATCTTCCTTTCAACCTTCCGTGGGTGAATCTCGTACCATTACCAGAGCTGCCGTGGTAGTAATTCGGAAGCGTTGCATGGGCTGCCTGGGACAAGCCAGGTATTCAAACTTACCTTGATGCACTGCAGAGTCGGCAATCCCTGACTGTGCTGTGTTTTCATGGTGTCTTCGTGTCTAGTGCTTCCACACAGGCAAGTCGTTGTGCCAGTTGGGCTAGAAGCCGTGGCGTATTCTCAAGCACAGACTAGGTTTCAGGGTTGATAGGTTGCCACTGCTTGCAAGCCAAGGGTCACGATTTCCCACTCACAGGGACAAGTTGTGCTTTCCAACATCACGAGTTGTGTTCACAGATAGGACGTAAGACGACGGAATAGCATTCAACAGCACCCTCGCTGGCATATCGCAGGAGGAGTTTACCTACCTAAACCCTAAACCCTGAAC